AGTGGATGCTGCGCACTTACTCTCCTGCATTCAGCCAACCCAGCTTCCCACAGGAATACAAATTTAAAGTCTCAGTTATATTCAAGAAGGCTGAAGCGCATTAAGACTTCTTGAATAATTCACTTGGGAGCGTGGCGTGTTCCATGGATGTGCGTAAATAGCAGAACTTGTGAGACTGGTGACTGAAACACAGAGCGAGTCTGAAACCTCACTGATGTCAGCCGCATGTGCTTTCTCGTGTTGGAAAAAGCACATCATCCTGACGGAGCTCTCCGTTGGCTGTGACTCACAGGGAAGGGTTAATGTCGTGTGACTTCTGGGGCTCACAGTTCGCCACGTCATCGGGGAAGACCCTGGAAATACACAGCTGTGCGCAGGGAGGATGGCTCTGGTCAAAGAAGGCGACAAAGGACAGCAGGGGCTGCCCACCCAGGCCCCCACGGACACCCCACTGCCTTCTCAGGGTGGGTGTTGCTGGGTGTGCAGTGGCTCACATGTGCTCTTAGAAACTTATATTTTGTTAAAGCTGGATGCATGAGCTCAGCTCTAGAGCTGGTCTTTTTCTTTCAGGCTGGACGACTTTCATATGCTGGGTGGAGCCAGCGACATGGCAAGCGACCCGAGTAGTCGCCTCATAAAGCCTCGAGTGTTACTGAGCATCCCCTGCCCTCAGCCCCTCCGCGTGGACAGATTCCCCTCTGCGGCAGACGCGCACCCCTGCTGCGCCGCTCACACTCTGAAGTGTTTGGTGCTGTCGTCAGCCAAGTCTCACCTACAGCCACTGTGCATGGGAGCGGAAGACCCCAGCCAGCGAGTCTAATGAAACCAGGCTGCGGATCTGCTGTGCTTCGGGAGTCTCCTGCCCCTGCTTTCTCTTCAGTGTCTGGTTTTCATGGAAATTTGCGTCTGGGAATGAGGGGGTTGGAGTGGGTTTGCTGGAGGCAGGCGCTGCACCCTCTGCTTCTGCCCGGGAGGACTCCGGACCAGTGAAGGCTGCAGGCAGGGAAGGAGGCAGAAGCTGCAAGAGATTTGATGAGCACTGCGCGGTCTTTCAGGACAATGGGGATTTCCCGCAGACTTGCCGTTGTTTGAAAAGTATCCATCAGTCTGCCTTAGTGTGGAATCTTTAGCGCAGAAAACGTGCCCTCCTCACTGTTCACGCTGCACAAATTCCACTCTGAGGTCGTTGCAAAGTTAAGTCTGCATCCTGGGATGCTTAGCCTCTGAGATGGCGGATGGAAAGCCTCCTCCGTGTCTTTCTGGGCTCAGGATGCAGCCAGTGAGGCTCAGGACAAGGTGTGGGACCAGTGTGGTCCTTCTGGAAAAACAGGTTCCCTCTCCGAAAGATAGGGAACGCATTCTAGTCCAATCCAGATTAAAGAAGCAGCAGAAATGAGGACCAGAAGGAGTTAATGTTCGTGCTGGCAAAGGAAGTGGATTATTAAGCACTTCTTTCTGGTCTTTGCTTTAAGCAAGTGAAAAATAAGAATTGTGTATCATATATTCTAGAAAGTTCAGTGCATGCTTCCAGTTCAAAATAAGCAAGTCTGTAGTGAAGGAGGATGGCAAGGCAAACACTCTTTCCTCCACTAGACCCTCACCGTGAATGAAAAGATATTTCAGGAAGTGTTTCCTTAGCATACATTCAAATACTAGGTTGCAGGTTCCCAGCTGTGTTCGCATCGGGTCGGCGCTCTCTGTTCTGGTTTGGTTTCTCCTGCTTGACACCCTCTGGCTTTGGAAGAGGGAGTATTGGGAGCTGGCGGGTGAATGAGGGTAGCCTGACTCTTTCAGTACCCAACTTTTATTAGATATCATTTAGGGCATGTCCTAAACAGGTCAGAATGAACGAAGACTTAGTATTTATGAGCCATCAGTGCTAACAGCTCCAAGGTGTAGTGCTATTTTTAATCGCCATCACCCTTAGGCCTAGTGTTTACAATTTTTTCTCATAACCCCATAACGAGCCTTTTCTGACATTTTTCTCTTTGCCCATCTCCCCCAAGAAAGTGCAAAGCCACGCTTACACCGTGTGTCTGTTCTCATATTTCAAGCTCTACAAAGATACACAGGTGTACCTGTGCTTAGCATATAAAAAGAGTAAGAGTTTTTCATCTCCCTAGGTCCAGTTTTAGCGTGCACAGGTTACTGCACTTAGTCAATCTCAGCCCTGAGGAAGTTTGCGGATGTCTGCCTGTGATCGCAGGTTAACAGTGAGGGTTGAGGGAGCAGGAAGGATCAGAGCCGGGTCAGCTGTTACAGCAGGGAGTGATGTTCTGACTGCCCCTGTCCCTGCAAAAAAAGGGGCCTGAGCACTGACAGTCATGCAGAAGATGTCGGACAGTCCTCCTAGTCCCCCTTGTATTTTTGAAAGGATGCCAGGAAGTGTGCCAGATCGCTGACCATACGCTTCATGTCGTCATCGGAGTCGCGGCTGCAAGATCAGCTGGTCTGTGGAGACACCAAGTTGCAAAGTAGGACAGGGAGAGACAGAGAAAGAGAGAGAGAAATGGAAATATGCTAAAAAACAAAAAACAACAATAACAACAGTAAAGAGACGCCGAGTTGAAGCCAACAAAAAATCAATCAGAAGAGAAACACGCTTGGGCCAACGTGAAAAGCAGCACAACCGGGGCCTCGCAAACAGTTATGAAAGCCATCAGTGACTTAGTATTTCTGTGAGCAGCGCGGACTCCGACGGCAGGGGGCGCTGTGTGCGAGGGTGGGATGAGGGCCCTGCCCTGTGGGCAGCAATTGCCAGCAGTGACCCCGCGACCCTGAAACAGGAAGAGTACACGAGGGAGAAAAGCAAGGGCCCCGTGGGGCTGGAGCAGATGGTGAGGAGCTGCCCTGGTGTCCGAGTTTCCCCTCGTGGCCTGCGGTCCTCGTCTTCATTCATTTGACCTGTTTAGGACCTGCCCAAAATGACGTCTAGGAAATCTGCCCTTCCCTTAGGGCCAGAAACAGTGCGGCAAAACCTCGTGCCTTCCAGAAAAATAAAATAAAATAAAATAAAAAATAAAATAAAATAAAAATGATAAATAATGTTACTGTGAGTGCAGGAAGCACAAACACAGCTTTTGTTTTATGGTTCCTTCCAGCTCAGGGTGTAGGCTAGGAGATACTATGATTTGTTCTATAAGGTTAGGTATCCTTAATTCAGAAATCCCAAATCAAACGTGCATCCAAATCCAAAACTTCTGAGAGCCGCGATGCGGTCACAAGTGGAAAATGCCACAGCTACGCTCAAACGGCAGGTCACGGTCACAGTCACAGTGCAAGTGCACTAAGAGTACTGCATAAAATCACCTTCAGGCTGTGTGTATGAGATGTTTATTAAACAAATGTTTTTTTTTTTTTTTTTTTTTTTTTTTTTTTTTGTTTTTTTGGTACCGGAGATTGAACTCAGGACCTTGCACTTGCGAGGCAGGTGGTGGCACCACTGTGCCAAACCCCGGGCCCCTAAATGAATTTCTTGTTTAGAATTGCATCCTATTCCCAAATGTCTTATCGTGCATATAGAAACATTACAAAACCTGAAAAAACCTGAACTCCGAAACACTTCCCCTCCCAAGCCTTTCAGATCAGGGCTGCCCAGCCCCCGACATCCTCCTTTCGGGACATCAGAGGACAGTGGCTCTTGCCTGAGGTCTGAGCACCTAAGGAGTCTGCTCTGTGTCACCCGCCACCCGCTGTGCCTGCCTTTGGAATGGCCAAGGTGTATTGTCCCTGGTTCTTCTTGTCTGTCTGCATATGAAGTGGTACTTAAATGGAGCAAGTGACAGTTAGTTACAAAAAGCTCCCCCCACACCCCCCACCCCCCCCCTCG